ACGAGCCATGACTTCACCGCCGCAGAGCCGAGCCCGACACGTCGTTACCGCAGCTTGTTGTTGTAAATTGCATCCGCGCGGGAGGCATCCACGCTTGCGTACACTCACGCACACACAAAAAAAACCTCCCAAAATGGCAGAGAAATGATCAAACAGCCACGACAGTCTTGTGAATTATCATGAAAATTTATTGGTCATAATGGGTATACAAATGTCATGCGTATTTACAGCGTATAAAAGGTTGAAAAACCAAAGGAAACAATAACAACTAAAGCTTTACACATTTACAAGGCCCAAAAAAAAGGCAATCTTGGCATCACGGGGAAGCTTGAACTCTTCATTGTTTGCTTGAAGATTGAAAAAGTAAATGTTGAACTACAATAAAACCACAACGGGGCTCCTCAATGATAAAACTGCAATATAGTCTATATAGCACAGAAAACACTCGCATACACACTAATAACACATTCATAGCAAACATGAGGTAGTCAAATGGTTAAAAAAATACAATCAATATCTAAATATAGTTTCTCTGTGATACAGCATTATAATGTCATATTTCTATTATCTATGATTATTCATGAGGGGGGGGGGTGAGTGGCAGAGCTTTTCCCAGCATGCCCCGGGGCTAAAGGCAGAGAGGAATGTTGATATTTGAACAACGACTCCCACGAATTGTATTGAATTGTTCGTTTGAGTGAAAGAAAATCCCCAAATTATCTCAAATGAGAAGATTAGATCCAGAACATAACTCGAGGCTCAGCCACTTAACAGCATGACACAACAGCATGAGAGGTAATTACATGTGGGAGATGGATTCGCCACAGTTGATAAGAGAAACCTCAAAAGTGCAGGAATGTCAGAAAGCCTTAATCCCACTATGACCACTGATTATAGGCTGTGGCGCGTTTCCACTCTGCAACACATGGATCTTTCACAAGAGATGTTCAGTGTACCGTACAGTGAGATACTGTTGTTCACAATAACGCTGCTCTGCCTACAGGTCTACTGCTTACTGACGGACGCCCAACCTGGCACGAGGCCCGATAAAACAAACAAGTTGCTCCGAATGCGAGTGGTTCTAATTCAACTCCATTAAAGTTAGCTCTCAGGTTTTAGTGAAAACAGTCGAGTTTCCAGAATCAAAATAGCTGGATTTCCGCTCAAACATACAAACTTATTATATAAACCACTTTCTTGTTCAAGAAATTTGGTTTAAATGCTACAAAAGTTGATTTCATTATTTGAAGAGGACGCATGTTATTGTTGTGACAACCGAAGAACCGAAGCAGGTTGCAGATCTGGGTTTTACCACGTGACACTGCAGGGCTGCAACTACCTAATGGACACTGCTACGGTCTGACTTATTCAATGTTTACTCAACGTTTACTCCAAATTAACCGTCACCAAGTCCAAGAGGTCATCTGCATTTTGTTCAAACAGATGGTCAAAAAGTGTACTGAATTTTCCGAAATCCTATAAATCTGGGCAGATGCACGCTGGTCTGCTCTGAGTCTGTTTTTGTAATTTCCATTACAACATAACCAGGTTTAAATTATTTATTGTGCTGCAAATACGAGCTTGTTGATTTAGAATTCATTAAGGTCAGCACTGCATTCGATTTACAGTCGTCCTCAAATGTATTCATACCCTTCCATTAAAGAAAAGGCAAAATTCACAACAGTCACTCAAATAACTAGAAACTAAAAAAAGTAATAAAAAATAAAAATTTGAAAAATTATAATTTTGTGAAATAAGACATTGCTTTTGAATTGTGATTGAAAAGAATAATTAAAAAAACAAAAAACCAAACCGTCCCAGACAAATTAGAGCACTCCGCTAATGAGCAGTGGGCCAAAATCAGAATATCTGTCAACAGGTGCAGAAGTGTGATGAAGAGTTAAAGACTTGACAGCAGTGATTGGCTCAAAGGGTTGTTTAACTAAATGTTAGTTTATGGGTCCCATCATGCTTGTTTGCTACTGTGGTGTTTTTTGTTGTTGTTTTGTTTTATTTATTTTTTATTATTTCTGTTGAACCACAATTCAAAAGCAATGTCATGATTTTCATTAAATTTTATTTATTACTACTTTTGTCAATTTCAACTGATTTCAGTGACAGCTGTTAGTTTCCTTCTTTAATGGGAGGGTAAGAATACATCTGAGGATGACTGTAGTTCATCTACAGATAACGTGCAGGTAGTTTTATCTCCAACCAGTCTGCTGATCGATTAGTTGAAGAGCAGGTTGGATTTCTAGGTAGGTTTTCTTTGGCTGACTGTGGAGGAATCCATCATTTCATAATTAAAAATATATATTTTAGTATTTAAAGATACAGCTAATCTTCAATGATGTAAAACTTGAATAGAAGATATATCATGTTAAAGGGTTTTATAACATCTGTTTTCTTTATGTCACATGAATATTTTGCAGCAAAAACATTATTTATGCAGAATCGCGATCCATTTGCAACCTCTTCAGCAACGACTGAATCCAAATTACACCCAAATATTAGATGACAAATATAATATGCAGGAGACATCATGAGTTGTAATCCATGTACAGATAATCAGTATGTTATGCTGTATAATATGAATTATTAAAAGCTTAATTTATTGCAATTAAAAAAAAAAGTAAATAAATGTGATATATTTTAACATTAATTCAGGTAAATTAGCCTTTTTTTGAACTTTTTGTATTATAAATACTAATACGTCGTTTTCATCAACGTGTCATAAAACATGGCGTGTGGCTTTTATGAATATTCTAAATAAATCCTCCCACAAACATGAGCACATCCACAATCACAGTACTTACACACGGACAAGACAATAAATTTCTCTTGGTAAATATATTCCAAAATATAATTTTATACACAAATATATATATTTATACTCTCTGTAGAAAGCTTTACACATGTTTACATAAAAGAAAAAAAAAATCAAAAGCTTTGAGATAATATACATTCTGTTTTTGTTTTTTTTTTCTACAGGAGACACAGTTGAATCATTACAGGGATTCAAAGGCCCCAGTTTTCCCCGAAACACACAATCTGACAAGCACGCATACAGCAAACATTCATATTCTTCTGAGACGGTGGGGTAGTTGTGGTGTTGCAGTTCGAAGAAAACGTAAAAAATATAAAACAATGAGCTTCGGCTACAGCTTATTCAACACACTGTCAGTGCCAAGATTTATACAAACATAAGCGGGATAAGGAAATGTGTTCTGTCTGAATAATCGATTAGCCAACAGACAGAAAGGCAATCATCATTTTATCACAAAGAAATGACAAATCAAATTAAAATGTGAGAATTGGCTGTGTTTTCTTTTTTTTGTGGATGGTCTGATGGGTATTTTCCAATATTTTCTGATGTTTTATAGAATAAATGATGAATCGCTTAACAGATGTTTTAATAATAAAAACTGTCTAAAGGGAAAGACATCAGAATCCAAACTATGTCAGCTATGCTAAACCAGGATTACCAATCCATGTCCTTAAATCATACCTTAAGTTAATTCTGTCGTTTAACACTGATCTGATTCATAATTTACTACTTTTAAAATGAGAGAAAGGCATTAATGGACCTCACATTGTTATTCTTGTCAAATCCAACAGAAGAAAAATAGAATTTACATGCACGCTGCCTCGTAATAGTTTTCAGTATTTACAAAATTCACAAAATTATACAAATCTTTGAAGAATAATTCAGCATTGTGAGAAATGCTTTTGTTCTTTCCTCGGGTTAGCTGAGAAGATCAATACCACCCTCAAGTTTATCCAAGGTGCTGGAGATGGGAGGTGATTAGCATAGCTTAGCATAATGACTGGAAGTAGAGGGAAACAGCTAGCTCAGAGCAAAAGAGTTACAGCACAAAACTCCCCCAAAAACACCAAATAGTTGTTTCTACGCTTCTGATTGTTTATGGACTGAGCTAAGATAATGTAATGTGACCACTGACTGTCTATAAAGATAGACGAACCCTCTGTGGCGTCACCCACAGGTTTCCTGAACAGCAGATCTGAAGTTCAGTGTGGTGGCTCTAAGCGTCGTCATTTTGGCAGTGCCGGACTCCTGGCTAATCCAAAAATATACATTATAATCACTCTCATATGTCAACTGTACGTGTGGTGAATTACCCCATGTACAGCTGACATATCAGCGTGATTACTGATAGAGAAAATAGTTTTTTGTGCCAGCCTGAAAACGTGTTTATTTCTACTGTAAGGTTTGACATTTTAACGTGGGGGGTCTATGAGGATTGACTCACTTTTGGAACCAGCCTCAAGTGGCCATTCAAGGAACTGCAGATTTTAGCACTTCTATGCTGACTTCATTTTTTAGCCCCAGAGTTTGCTGCTTGAATATAACATACTTATCTTTTTAAAAAAAAGTTGCGCTTTGGACAGCGACAGGATGGTTAGCCTAGCATTGCATAAACAAAAGCTAGCTAGCGTGGTTGTGTCCAAATGCTCCAGACAGAGCTTACCATCTTTATGCTAAGCTATCCATTGAATGTAGATGAAGGATGAACATTACCTCTGGGATAGAAATTTGAAGCGAATGCAAAGCTTCTTAAACCTGCATTCTTTCTAAGCCAGCAGGGGGCGACTCCTCAGGTTGTCAGATTGAACAGAAGTTTATTAGAGATGTCCCTACTTCTTACTTGATCTGTTACCTAAGTAAACATTTTCCTAATGCGTTTATGGTCTCAATCACTGGTTTTTATTTAGTAAATCTGGGTCCTATTTAGAAGAAAAAAGAAGACAAAGCAGGGAATGTTTCAGCTACCTTGTCATTGACATGCCCCTACTGCATCGGCATGGCCATGAATTCTCAGTCAGAATTGCTTTTTCCTGGTGACAGCCAAAATGCCAAATGGTGGTAGTGGACAAACCAACAGGTGATGTCATAGGTGTCTGCCTGGCTTTGCCCATGATGAAGGCCTAAAGCTCATACCTAACAGACAGAAATGCAGATCAACAGTTTGGTGTTTTTCGAGGAGTTTTGTGTTGTAACTGTGAACCATTCGTTTGAATTCTCTGTTTCCACATGTTATATGCTAAGCTAGGCTACTCACCTCCTAGATCCAGCTCCATATTTTATACACAAACACAAGAGAGGTATCAAATCTTCTCTTTAAACCTTTGGATGACAAGCAAATAAGCATATTTCTCAAAATGCTGAACTGTTCCTTTAACAACAGCTGGTAAAAGGGAACCCATAATGCCCCTGTGAAGATCTACTCAGACATATTGCTATACCTATATACTTTAACAACCTGTGTGTATGAATCCATTATAAAGGAAATGATTATAAAATGTGGAATTTTATCAGCATGTCTTTCACATTTATCGTTCACATTTTTTGGCAATTACTCTTCTGTATACATTCAATACCTACACTGTCTTTTAAAAGCCACGATCTCGGCGTCGAGACAATGACGTACTGCACATTTGTCTGCATGGTAATAGTGGTTGCTTTGCTCCCTCGCCACGTTCTGGGTTGCATGTCATAAAGTAACGGTCCAGCCATCAACATCTCACTTCTCTAATACTGGCATCGCTGCAGCCTTGTTGCTCACTCTTGGAGTACACCTGCTTCTTACAAACAGCCTAAATCAAACCATTTAGGGTCAAAACAAACGGCTGTGTTGTGGTCAGGAAAAAAAAAGCAGCATTTGGATTAGAAAAAAAAAAACGCCTGGAATAAACTCACATTTGCTTCTTGTGTTTTTTAAAGTGAGCCTGCCGAGCTGAGTCTCAGAACCGCACAAATGACACCAGGACAGTTCGGTCTGCGCACACTTGAAGCGGCACCAGCTTTACACAAGGACTAAGGGTGTTTTCATGAATCTGACTTTTTTTTTTTCTTTCCTTCTAATAAGCTAATTCCTTTCAACCAACCGGTCTTTGTGGACCGCCGGGCCCTTCGTGCGGCCTGCTGGGTGGCGGTCCTGGGCTACGCCGTGCTGCTGCTGGAGCACGGTGTGCTTTGCGTGCTGCCGATGCTGTGGGCCGCGCTGCTGTTCTCGGAGGTGGGCTGGGACTTCTGGACCGGCTGTGTGCCAGCTGTCTCACCTAGATATAGTGCAGGAGAGGGAGCGGGGGCGCGGGGAGGAAGGGAGTGGGCCGAAGGGAGAGGGGAAAAAAAATGGATGCAATTTAGAAAAAGGCCACAGTTTGGCAGGAACATGACAAACTGATTTGGTTAAAGCTACAAATTGGACTCCTCTAAGACTCTGGAGCCTCCATTGTTCATCTGTACTCAGAAATGCATCATGCGTTAATCCCCAACTGTAGAGTGTAGACTTGACACTGAAATAAAATTATTTTTTACACCGTCTTACATAGATGAATGCATTCCTACTCAAGTAAAAGCAGCGCACTGTACAGTACAACGCAGACAGAACAACTCTGCACTCCATCTGCCTTTACTTTACTATCTTCATGCATAATCTGTCACAGCTTCAATGTGTTTCCAACTTCCGAGGCCCCAAAAGATGTCACCTCAGAAACACACGGTCACATCCTATCCGACAGACGATATTTTAAACAAAAAGAGAAGAAGACGTTTCCCCCTCCGTTCATGGAGTTCATTTCTTTTTGTTATCTGGAATCAATTAGCCTTGCTTTTGTAGATAAAGCAGAAGAAACACAACACAGGACCCTGTGACTGGAGCTCCAACCACTGACTGGTTTATTGTTCTATGTCTAAATAAGCATTTCATTTTGTAGACTCTCGGGATCCAACGCTTAAATGAAGGGCGAATAAAAGTGCTGATGTTTGTTTATAAAAAAAATGTCTCTGACAGACAATGAACTGTGTTTGAGATGAAGCCAACTCTGTTTTTAATTTGAGCATTTGGCACAATTATTACTGCAGTGTGTTCTTTGCTGGTTTATAGCTTCTTTAATCCCACAAAAGTGCAGAGCAGGAGTTTTCTCTCCGAGACAAAAACTTGTGTTTTGATACTGCTAAAAGTTGTGTGTGTGCGTATATGACAGGCGTATGCATGCATCTATAGGCGACCTTGCATCTCGCTCCCTCTTTCGGGCCCCACACTCCTGCTAATGTTTAGCAGAACAGGGCTGCCAGCAGTCTTTCCCTCACAGGACCAAGCGCTCTACAAAACAAAGGCACTTGGATTCATCTCATCCATCTGAGGAAATTTAAATTCCCAAAAGCCCAATATTATCTTTCTAGATAAACGAGATAAAGCTGCTTTTATGTCACAGAAACATATTGAGCATGAAAACTCTGTACGCAGCTGTTGTAACAGATGTCTACTCAGGGACAATGTGTCTAAGCCTTGGTTCACGAATCACAAATGCAAAAATGCAGTCTTGGCATTTCTTTGACAACAAGTCAGCAGTCCAAACTTACGCTGCCTTAAAGAGTCCAGAGATCGAATGACATTTCTGAAACTCATTCATTCTTTTTTTTGCAGTGTTTGTGCATGTGTGGGGGATTGTGATCAATAACTTTATTAACTCTCTGAACCAAACACCTGGCAGTCAGATTGAGAAGTAAGTTATTTTTTTTAAAAGATTGGAAAAATGACACATTTATTAGAGCTAGAAATGGAACAAAACAGAAAAAAACAAAAGGGGCTTTCAACTTTCTCATCTATGACGCAACATTCAAATCTCTAGGTGTCTCATTTACCGTAATTTCTGAACTATAAGCCGCTACTTTTTTCTCACGCTCTGAACACTGCAGCTTAAATGAAGATGCGGCTAATTTATGGATTTTTACGATTTTTACGAATTTGCCTCAAGACGGAAGTCACATTGAGAGCGTCAATGAAAGAGAGTATGAGGAAGTGTGTGACGAAGTCATTCTGAGGCTGTTCAACTCCGACACTGAAGAAGACGACTTTAGTGATTTTAGTGCTCAGGAGGAAGATGAAGATAGCGATCAATGACTTTTCCTAGTAGGCTGCTGTATTTTTAATTTTTTTAACCAGCCATGTTACAGGCAGTGTTCGGAAAAAAACAGTTATGATACGTATTTGTGTATGCTACCAGTACGTGTTTAATTAAAAGTTTAAAAACTCTTTCTGTGTAAATATCTCATGTTACAACGTGGACACCTGGAGCTTATAGACAAGTGCGGCCTGTATATGTACAATATTAGTTTTCTTTTTAAAGTTAGTGGGTGCGGCTTATATTCAGGTGCGCTCATTGTCTGGAAATTACGGTAAATACCTGCCAATATTAAATTATTTACTGTAAACAGATTCTGTAAAAAAAAAACTAAAAAAAACTTTGCACTCATTGTCACAACCATGAAGCCATAAGTGACTCAGCTCAGATCAAGAGTCACATGAGCAAAGATTTCAGACTTTTCAGCTGAACTGCAGGTTGTGTTTACTCAGAGAAAATAGGAATCCATTTTAAAGAGTAGCACTCTATCTACAGTATGTTTACCCACCATTTGTCTGCATGTCTAACACCTGTAGGCTCTTTCTGGATTTTTTTTCTTCATTTTTTGTTTGTATTTTTGTAAATGAAGTTTGACATATAACTCTTGTACTGCACTAATGACATTTTTTGAGTTTTCTCTACTTCTAGCCATGACTGTAATGTTTTCATAGAGATGCAGGACTTTATATTGTCGTAAAAAATGGGTCCAAAATGTAGAGCAGAAAACACCCAGAAACTCCTCGGGGTTCAGAGGGTTAAAACAATGAACAGTGGGGAAAATGAGATGAGAAATGATGTAATTGGCTTTGCAGCGGCGGTCTGTTGGACGGCTCGACTCTCTTCATGTACTTGCGGTCCTTTCAAGAAGTTCAGAACAAACTGGAGGGAGCTTCAGTAACCGATGTTCCAACAGACGTATACAATGACGTAATTTGGCGTCTCCACGGTTCACAAGTTGATCTAACTTCCAAACCAGCATGAAAACCAGCCCATAGCTAGTAACCGGTTTGTGTTGTTGGAAACGGTTTATTACAGCCGTCACAAGGATCTGCTGCTAACATCATGACACCAGATACCATAGGCTGAGTCCACACCTCAGCTGTTTTCATGGCATGGAACAACAGCACATTGTGCATGGGGGTGGTGGTAACGTGTTGGCTCATCAGTGCGTGTATTTGGATTTCAGTCTGATTGAGCCAGTTTTCACAATTGATTTAAATTATTCACTTGTGTGTTATTTCACCCAATGCACAGAGGTGGAGAGCAGATTCCTTGGCTGAGGTAACTCCAGGCCTGGCACACGACAGACCGACTTCATGTGCCAAGACAATGAAGGAAATGTCAAATAACATATGGTAAGGTTGCTGTGTAAAGCCTTTATATTGCTAATTGCCTTATAGGGAATTAAACTGTAATGGACACGCAACAAAAAAACAAAACAAATCTAATTCCAATGACTATATCTACTTTTACAAAAAGGGGAAAAACTGTCTTTTGAGAGGTCTGAGGACCCTCAGGGAATAGACTCAAATTAGTTTTCATGTTTCATCACCGGTTTAAAATACACACTGAAGTGATATTTTGGGTTGTTGTTTTGGGGGATCTACTTTCTTGGGGTTGACACAGGACCACAAATGTTGCCATATAAGGTCATGTGAGCCAATAGTGCTTAACACACTGGTCGAAAACAACCGGAGGCCTATTTTCATAACATCAACAGGAACACGGCCCTTTAACTCGGCCTTGAGCATGACTATTTTTTTTTAGAACGACCATCTTTACACCTCCTCTTCTGCGTACGTTCACATTTGACCGCCGCTATCCCTGGAAAAACCTGACAGATGCAGGGATTGTGTTTCTTTGCTGGTCACTTACCAGGAAATCCATAAAGTGGCTTTCTAAAGAGAAGCCAATACTAATATTGTAATAACGATAAGGCCTCTAAAATGTGAGAGCTGATCCTGACTGCGAAAAGAAAAATCCTGGACTGTGAAAGCTTATAAACGTGACTGATTATGACCGGACAGTTTGTAACACTGAAGTTTGACTCGCTAGATGTAAACTTTAGATATTAACCTGCCTGTTCAGCTGCAGCATTACACTTCCTTCTCCCTTTCCAGTATCTGCATGTTGTCGTTTTCAGAGTTCTTTTAGCTAGAGCAAACAACAACAACCCTGCTGAGGGTTTGGATTGTGCAAGAAGGCGGGCCTGCTTGTATCAGTTTAACCCCAAAAGTCACAAGTAGGCTTATAAGGTATGCTTTTTTTATTTTTAAATGTCAATGACATACTTTGCCAGAGCCAAAAATGGTAAAATATGAAGAATCTTGTTAACTTTCTAAGTTCTTGAACTACTCATCTGCGATGTGCTGTTTCATCTGGGCTTTTTTTTTTTTATCAACAGTTCCCCCAAAACAAACCGTTTGCATGAACCAGAGTCTGTGAAAAACTAAAAATTCAGTGCCTCTCAGTCCAGCTGTGAAGCGATAAGTGACTCAGCTGCAACCAACTGTCATGTGACAAAATTACGAGATGTTTTGGGTGAACTCGGCTGAACTGCCAGCTGTGTTTACACAGAGCAGATAGGTGACAAGTACTGAAACAAATCAAAAATGTCAGTAGTAAGATATGCATCGTATAAAAAAGCTGTCGTTTCTCCCCCCAGTCTTGGTAACACCTGTAGGCACTTGGAAAAATGTTGATTCCAAGTTGTTGCCGAATAAATAATTAAAGAAGTTCAACTTTTATACAACCAAAAAGACTCTCTACTTCTATCCATGGTGGGGCAGGACTTCATATTGCAGTAAAAAATGAGTCCACAGTGAGCGAAAAACGTGACAGGACAGAAAAACTGCCAGCATGATACAGCTCTGTGGAGATCTGGACGTCTGGCTTTGCGATGTTGTAACCGTTCTGTCTGTGCTGTTGCTGCGTTCACAGCTACCAGGGAGGATGATTTACTGATCCGACCGTCTAACGCTGTCAGACAGTGAGCTCTCCCCCAAACAGCTTTAAGTGCAAACACTCACATTGCTGCGCTTTCTGAAAACCCTGCATTCTAAACTGAAACAAGGTTTATGAAAGACGTCCACGGAGAACACATCAACCACGAGGCCAGCGGGTCAATGGCACAGCGGATCACCAGTCAGACATGAAGGCCTGCGAAGAACAGGGCAGCTCTATGTAACGGTGAACTCAGTGGGCTGCCGGGAGCGCACTTCCTCTCAGGGGTCGGCCGGGGTCAGCAGGCTGGGGACGATGGGGAAGGTCTTGGCATCTAACGGACAGATTGTGTGTCTTTTCCTGTGAGCGCCCACTAAACCCAACTAGGGGAATTTCCAACTTGTCTCCAGCCATTGTACTGAGCATATTCGCTGACTACCACGTAGCCCCCAAAACATTCAAAGGCAGGAAAGAGAAGAGCCCTTGCTGCTGACCAACAGGATATATTTACAGTAGAGGAGTCAATATGTTATTGTGAACCGGCCTCTGTCAGCAGCAGGATGTTTGGCAATCGCAGCGGCACATTTCTGGCACCGAGGCGCTCGGACATTCCAATGCATCTTATCTTTTCATTAATGCAGAGAGGTGAGTCGGGGCAGCGGAGCGGGGCAGCGAGGGGACGACCTACCTGTGTGTGAGTAGATAAACCACAGGGCTCCGGTCAACAGAGCCCCAATCACGAAGGCTGCGAAGGCGATCCCCACCACCGTCGGAGTGTCCAGCACGTACAGAGTCGCTGGAAAACAAAGCAGCACACGGTTCACACATGCTGACATGACAAGTTGGAAGTATTTTAAACTGAAATCCTAAGGAGCCCAGAAGTTTTCAATATTAAATAAATAAAAAAACAAGTTAAAGAGCACTAGTATATTTAAAAACGAAAGAAAGACCTGAATAAATTCAATCTTAGTATATATATGTGTACATAATCTTATTTCTGGAACAGGTGCACAGCTCATTTCACTGCGCGTTTTACCATGTATAACTGTTTGTGACCAATAAAAGACCTTGAATCTTTCATCAGGAATTTTTGGGGGCATTTTCTGCCTTTACTAGATGGTCAACAGAACAGAAACGACCCTTCACCTTTCAGCAAAATCATTTAAAATCGTCAGAATTCCACTATTTATCACAATTTTGAATTTGATGTTGGTCCCTGAATGAGTCGTGTGTGACGTGCAGCTCTGTTCGGAAACGTACCTGTACTAGTTTGTGAAGGTTCTAAAAATGTAAAATAGTAAAATATGTATTTCTAGTATTGGTAATGTGTGGGCAATTAGAAAATGTTGGACATGTTAGTTCCAGGCTTCTTCAATACTAAATTATGGTATTATAACTGCACTGAAGTCAGTTCTCTCTGCTTCCAGCCATATTTGTGCTGAGAGGAGGTGCAGGAATTTATATTGCTGTGAAAAATGAGCCCACAGTGAATAAAAACCTGACAGTAGCAATAAACACCCAGGAACTGTTTGGGGTTCGGAGGGTTAATATGGAGCACCAAACAACCGCTAACAGATTAAGCCAGCTCCTGCTAGCTTAAGCAACAATGTCAAAGTGATTCTAAAACAAGCCACTAAAGCCTGCTGTCAGCAAGCACAGCGTCCGCAGAGAGCATCACTAACATGTCGTTTTGTTCGTCTTAAGACAGCTAAGCATGCTAACTAGCTAGCTCATCAACCGGCTGCGAAGGATTGAGAGCTTAGCATCAAAGCGCTAACGGTAAATCATCCAGTCACCTCGGCAGCAATTTGAGAGAGAGACAAGGCGGTATGACAAGCAGCAAAATGAAATTTAAAAGTGAGTTGAATTATGGAGTTCCTAAATAGCTTCAGTATTTTTAGTTTTACGTATTTTACACAGTTTATTTTTAGGACTGGTTACTTTATGGATTATTGGTGTAGGCTTTAGGGAGTGTGCAGAGGATCTGTCAACTTCAACATCTCAATCATAGGCACAACAATGACTGCAACAGGGTTTGTTTTTTCTTCAGCATGTCAAACACAAAAGTTTTAGACATGAGCAGAACTCGGGCTTAACTACAAGTCCAGCGGTTTATGAATTAATTGATCATTGTTGTGAAAAGCCGCACATTTAAGGAGGTTACGTCCCCAAACGAAAGACACAGAAGAGGACAGAGGAGTAAATCATGTCCTGATATGTGTGTCCACTCTGCAGGAAAAAAATAATAAATAATTGAAAAGTAATACAGAATGCCTCAGAGCCGTACTGCAGTATGATGTATTACATTTTGAATCGCCACCTTTTCTTCCTTTACATAAACGAAAACATTTCCACCATAAATTAACGCTGAGAGAAACAAATTCCAAAAAAAAATAAAAAAAATCTTGAGACAAAATGAGGTGACTGATGTTCAAAACTTTCCTGGGGGAGAACATCCAGTGATTGATGCATCCTCCCTGTATGCTCGTACTAAATCTACGCCCATGCTCAGCATTGATCACTCTGGGCTTCATATAATTCACACACCTACACATGAAAATACGTCAGAAAAAGTCTAAAAGAGGAGTCAAATAAAATTTCTTACGTTCACTTGGAGGAACCATCGGCGTTTCTGGAGCTGCAAAATAATATAAAAAATATTTTTTAGAGTGGTATTACACACAGAGAAGCCCATTATACATTATGAATAATGACACATTAAAAATAAGACAATACGTGCTGTGAGTGTGTCAGCCACAGGCCAGAGGAGCAGCAGATTGCTGATACTGCACTGTGTTGATAAGCAATTCTCTGCGGAATGTGATACAGAAACCTGAACCAGGAAAAACGCTGAAAGAGCAGCTATTCTGTGAGCTGACAGTGTCCTAACGGATGAACCTTCTGACTCCGCTCACCCATTTATTTCAAGCCATCTGGAGGGCTTTCAAAAGTGAAATTAGCTGTAATGATGTCTTAACAAGCAACACAATGGCGCTTGTGTACGGGCGAACTCAAGAGGCAAACCTGGTACGTGTCCAAGACTCTGGCACAATGGGTGCTATTCTTGGACAAAACACCTTTAAGTTTTCATCTCGCATAATGGCTGATGACAGGCCATCAAAGGAGACTTTAATTTCAGTGGGGACGATGGCCAGAGGACGTCCTCTCTGCCACCCTCAGCCTTGTCCCAAAGCTCCAGAGTTATCTGTCCTCAGAGACTTGTTATGCTAAGAATGTAGAGAGAGGCCATTAACACTTACGGCCTCAGAAGAGAAAGGAAGAGCAACTGGAGCAAGCACAATGTGTGTGAGGCTTTCTTGTCAACTTGACTCAGTGATAATGTTATGTTTCCATAGGATGGAACCCCCAAAACCCAACGGCGAGCTTGAAATTCATGTCATCTTTTTAAAAAATCACTGAAATCACTGCAATACGACATCAGCATCACCTGCTGATGTGAACCAAATGGACAAAATGAACACATGGTCATTATTCACTTTTGCACAGCCAATCTGCACAATCTGCTTTCTCCTTCAGTGTTAATACTGTATATATTTATTTCATTCAATAGTATATTTTCTCATCTTGTGCATATACTTATTTTATTATTTAATCATTGTTATTTTCTTTCTATATTTGTGGATGCTGCTGTGGCATGTGAATTTCCCCCAATGGGGCATCAATAAAAATAATTCTATTCTATTCTATTCTATTCTATTCTATTCTATTCTATTCTATTCTATCCTTCTGAATGACACCACTTATCAGCCAGGTACGTACTGTAAAAACACAGTCATTGGATTACCAACTTTTCAACAGTCCTGGCATTAGGTATGTGTGACGTACTTATAAAAAAAAAAAAGTGACTCAGCTGAAACCAGCAGTCACATGAATTGTTTTTTTTCCATTTTTCAGCTGAACTGCAGGCTGTGTTTCCTCAGAGCAGACAGGAGACAAGTATGCAAACAAATTTAAACGATCAGAATGTAGAGTCTCTATCTATTTTTTCAGTAATTGGTAACTTTGAAAAACGCAGTGCGTATCGATTCTAGGCTTTTTCCATTTCTTGTATAATAAGTAATCACAGAAATGTCTGTGAAGATTCTCAGTCATCCAGGTCATGGTTATTCTGGTAGATCAATCATAGCAACTGGACTTGCTTGGCTCCTTTAGGATATAAGTATCTGGAACTCCCAACTAGTCAGTCAGAACTGATGAAGCCTCTTGGATGAGAGGTGAAACGTCTTCAAGGAACTCAAGCAAGTCCAGTTGCTACGATTAAACGACCAGAATAATCACAGAAATGTAACTTTATTCTTTTCTATTTTTATGACTTATGCCACAAAAGATATTTCTTAGTTCTGTCTGCTTCTAACTTAATGCACCTTTTCTAATAACGCCGTAACAACACCCTACAGCACGTCTGGACTGCTGTTCACTGCTTTAACAGAACCAGATAGCTGCCTCGAAGTTAAACTCATGACTTATGTTTGCAGCTTTAAGCTGTTGCCAAAAGTTGGACCAGCACTGATATCTCTATAAACGTCATCTGTTTATGTAAGTTTGCTTGCTGTGGAATGAAAGAGCACTCCTGCGTAATGACTTGTTTTCGTTCAACTCTGACCTTTCCTCATGGAGAGCAGAAACCACTGATGTTGCCTCTGCTGGACTCTTGACACCGGGGGTTCCAACTTAGAGAGCCAACAACAGTCGAACTCGATACTTCAGAGCTTGTTAGTGAAAGCAGCTCGGGTCCTTTAGGCTCTTAGCACCGCGTATAACTTCAGTATATACTCAAGTGTGCGAGAATATTCATCACAGATTTATACTTTCCTAATGGCCACGTTAAGCTGATGCATGAATCCTAACTCATGTACAAGTACAAGCATCGCTTAAGTTTGAGTATTAAAATGACAGTTTTTTTAGTTTTGTGATCATTTTAATGACAAAGTGAGATACTTGACATCTGGCCAGTGAATACAGCAGCCCATGTGTGGAGAGAAAGACTCCTCATTCAGCAGGTTTCAAGGCGATCCATCATCTCAGATATGTATCACAGAAATCAGCTACTTATAAAGATAAGAAACCTGAAGGGCCGACACATTCATATTTTCTGCACTGCAGCTCCACAATGTGTTCACTGGAATAACCTCGATATGAAATATTTTCTCCTTTTTTTACTCTTTGCAGACTTAAACTACATGACTACTCCGTGTGCTGGTGTAATGATATAATCTGCATAGCCAGCCTCTGAAATAAATTACATTTTTTAGAATGTTACCAAATGCACGAAAAAAAAAGCATAAAATTTATTGATGTTGCGAAGCCGTAAATCTAATTTTGATGGCAGGGCTTTGAGACTGTTCAGTTTTTCCATGCACCAAGTTGGCCACAAGTGGCCCTCTTTGATGTGTAGATGGAGTTCAGCTCTTTGGGATGCTGTCCAGTGCAGAGCTGTGGCCCTTGAAAAGGCTGCTTGTTTTGTTTGCCATCCTAGCATAAGAGATGTCTTTGTGTTAGAAAACACGGCCTTTGAAATTGAGGTTTTTCTCATCGTGTTTATGGCATATCTGTGTTTACTTTCCCTGCTCCATGGAAAATAAACCCGCTGCACTGGCACCGTGGTGTGGGCAGAGCACCCCGCTGCCCGCTTTGGACTCGCTGAGCCGACGCACTCAGTCATTACTTCAGCTTTCACAGTCTCCGTTCACCAATATCTTCGACGTGAACACTGACACGTCTGTGCTAAAAAGTGACTCCATCCGTACAGTAACTTTGCCCAGTGGTGACACTCAATGTTCAATCAGGATGTAATGAAACCACCCACTTCTGCTCTGAATAATCCTGTACGACTCTGACGACATACAGTTGAGCCTGAGTGCAGAGTTTTCGAGGCCTCTAACTCGCAAACACCAATTATTATCAGCAGGGATGCAAAATATCGGATGTTTGCCGATAATCAAAATATATTAACCTGACTGAAACAAGGTGTATAGTTGGAGTACCTCGGGCTCATCTATCCTCACTGTGACATCAATATGGATCATGGGCTGAACACAGAGAGAAAGCAGGACGACCTTCTTTCGCCTCGAGCATCATGTCTCATGTTTTATATTTATTTTACTCTGAAGTAAATTGAATATGGTGCAACTGTCAGGTTAACATCCAACGATTTCTGGGCTGGGATAGGCTCTGTTCATGGCTGATTTAGAGTCAGTATTAAAGCCGACATGCATGTAGTTGGACTGTGGAAGCCAAAGCACCCTGAGACAACCTTTGCAGGCACGAGGAGCACAGAAAGGCCCCAGCCAGCCAAACAACACTGTTCTACTGTGAGGCAATTCAGCGCAACTGTGCTGCTCAGCACCTATACATATATATACCTATAATAACTCCCCAATAGGTCTGCACAGTGTAGGAAAAACCTGATGGTGCAATACAATATGTTGTTTTCCAGCAATATACAGTCGTCCTCAAGTGTATTCATACCCTTCCATTAAAGAAAAGGAAAAAATCAACAACAGTCACTCAAATAACTAGAAACTGAAAAAAGTAAAAATAAATAAAAATTTTCTAAATTATAATTTAGTGAAATAAGACATTGCTTTTGAATTGTGGTTCAAAGAAATAATAAAAACAAACAAACAAACAAAACTGTCCTGGACAAATTAGAGCACTTTGCTGATGAGCAGTGGACCAAAATACCTGTCAACAGGTGCAGAAGTCTGACTGAGAGTTACAGAAAACACTTGATTGCAGTGATTGGCTCAAAGGGTTGTTCAACTAAATATTAGTTTACGGGTCCCATCATGCTTGTTTTTTTAAAATAATTTTTTAAAATATATTTCTGTTGAACCACAATTCAAAAACAATGTCATGATTTTCATTAATGTTTTATTTATTATTACTTTTGTCAATTTTAACTTATTTCGGTGACAGCTGTTTTTTCCTTCTTTACCCTCCCAGGGTATGAATACAATTGAGGACGACTATACTGTGATTGAAAAATACAGGAATTTTCACCAGATTTCACTTTAATAACTAGTTGAAAAGAATAAATCTTTATACAACGATTGTGGTGGCTTCGTAGGAGAGTGCGTCTACATCCAAATAAAATAATAAAATATTCATTAAAAAAGCTGAAAAAGAACATTTGGTTCAGCACAGGCAACAGTTTTTAGCTTTTCTGTTCCCAAAATACATCAATACAATAATTTCTTTTCGCAGCTAAATCTTCCTTTTCCCTGCTTCTCTCCTGTTTTAGCTCATTTCTCTGAGCACATGTGAAGTCATGAGTATGAACAAACTCTGTGCCTTTTGAAAAAAGTAAAAACAAAACAAAAACTCAGTGTGTCCAACTTAAATCAGAGTAAATGATGTTCTATCAGAGACTTCTCTTGGAGATTAGTCATGGAAAATGAGAACCATACGAGTGTTCTTTTGCTATCAAGCAAAGAAATAAGCTGTCGTACGCTGTTTTTTCAAATTAATTTGCCTTGCTTCACATTGCACCGTCTGCAAAGTGACTGTTGTGGATGAGCACATCCCAGTGCTGATGCAGAAACATTATATTGTGTAGCAATAATCCACAATAAGCTTAAATTGGCAGATATGAGCTGTGTTGATATATTGGTCAGGCTATAGCTCATACTGATTAAAATGATGTAAGTCCTATCAAATCATGGGCCAATAAAGTTGACTCAAACTGACCACATGTCTCTGGTTGATGTCATTGCTCAGAAGGGATGCAAAAAACTGGCAGTCCACTCGAGAATGGGCACACATGATATCAGTCCATCTTAGTTGAGGTCATAATAAGTAAAATGTGATGGCGGTTAGCTCAGACCCCCCCAGCCCCCTGCAGGCTGCCCCCTCCCTCCCATCACACTTACAGCCGCTGCGATACAGCCAGCGAATCAATGTGTAACTAAACAAGTGCTGATCGAGGGGCCTTTAGGACCTGGCTGGGCTCCCGAAGCCAACGAGAGGACCACCACTCCCCTTCCTCCCCCTCTCCAGTGGAAAGGGGAGGCCATGGTGAAGGGCCAAAGTGAAAACAACTGGAGCTCAGTGCTGTATGACTCCTGTTTTTCCACATCTCCCTCAGCCCGGACCAGTCCAGAACAGCAGAACTGGGCCTCAGTGTGAGCACACTCCCCTTTACTGCAGTCAACCACATGCTAGTATGTACACACACCCAAAAACACACTGGTGTATACAGATGTCAATGCAAACTCAGGCTCGTACACGCCAAACGTCTATCGCATAATCGCACACATTGCAGTTAATGATGACCAGATGTGGGAAAGTGATGTGCAGCACTTTGTGGTTTGGTGTAATCCCCAAGTACCGGTCCGAACTTTCCCTGGCTCCTTCAGACCGGCGTCTTCCTCTACTCCAGTTTCCTATCACACTGTGTACTTGTGGACTTCTTCAGAACTCAGAGCATAAATGAACTTGTGGCATGAAGTTGGTGTAAATCATGTTTTGTTTTCCTCTCACTAACCTGCTATGTCTGGCGAACCATCCACCACCACCATCGGTTTGGTCGACATCTTGGAGGTCATCGCCATCGTCATGATATTGTCCACAGTGAGAGAATCACAGGGCGCACCGGGTTTTAAGCACTGCGCAGATGAAATTGGAGAAAATAGGAGAATTAAAAACAGTAAAGAAACTCTACAGAAATCAAAATGCTCCACAGCACCCTGATCATGTCGAATCATTCTATCTGACAGTAACTGCATTACTCTCAGGCTGAACAGTAGGAAAAACGAATAGCATTACGATATTAAAAATACCTGCAACACAGTAGGAACTTAATGCAAAAAAGTCAGTCCATTACTGACATTTAAATCTTGTTTTTTTCATTCCTACATATGACTACCTATCGGCATGGGAATACCGGATTCCTAGAGAGATGTTCCGCCATTCAGCTGAGACATTTTTTGTTGAGCTGCTCTTTATCGGAGGGGTTGTGTTGCTCCGTGTCTCTCCTTAGAAAACCACAAAGATGTTTTATTGCATTCAAGTTAGGCAATAAACTTGTCCAGGTCATAGTTTTCACTTTGGTCTTTTTTTAGAAACTCTTCTGTGATTTTGGCTGTTTGCTTTGGATCGTTATTAAGTTGGAATATTCCTCTTCTGACAAAATTCTTCAAACTGGAAGTCATCTAGTCATCAAGTATTTTGGTATATCCACTGGCAACATGGTGTCATCCATCCATCCATCCATCCATTATCTAGGTCACCAGTCTATCACAGGGCTACACTTAAGAGACAGACAACCAAGCACACTCACATTCACACCTACGGACAATTTAGAATCACCAATTAACCTCAACATGTTTTTGGACCGTGTGGGAGAAAGCCGGAGACCCTGGAGAGAACCCACGCTGCACGGGGAGAACATGCAAACTCCACGCGAACTATGGATCTTCTAGCTGCGAGACGATGGTGCTAACCACGGAGACACCTTGCAGCCTATAGCGTCATCCATTAATGTTAAAACATTTAGCACTCATGCAGCCCTATATCATCACCCTCCCACCTCTGTGCTTCACTCTCAGGGCTATGCATTCACTGTGGCAGCTCTGACCATGTTCAGACCAAACATACTTGCAATTTTGTCCCAAAGCACAAGCAAGGGGTTTTTTCTTGGATGCTGTTCATAGACGTTGATGTTATTATCTGCCCTTCACACTGTCTGAACTGTGAGAGAAACCCTGATTTCAGATATCACGGATAGCCCCGGTGCCAAGAGTGAAGCAAAGGCCCATCTGTTTTTTTAGAGCTTTGGTGTCATTTATAAAGATGCAAACTGCAACTCTGATTATTCGTACTATGGATCTCCTGATTGCTGCTGCAACTGTGTTTCCACTGATTTTTACTTTTATACTGATCTTCCTGTTGCTTTTTCGTCTCAGATTTTTCACCTCCACTGGCAGTTCTTTTCCCTGTGGAGCCATGATGCAGATAACCAGGTACAAAACTGACACAGCTCTAGTGTTGACAGACCTTTAACAACTATATTCATGCAGTTAGGCTGTTTAGAAAACTGGTGAAATCACGAAGTTTTAATGATCAAACTGTGTGTCCGTGATCAAAGCTGTATTCACTTTAGTTGCATCGACTATCTGTATTTTCAATATAACTTTTTTTTATCTATTTTAGACTGTTCTTGGGAGGAAGTACTCTTTTGTTCAACTAAGAAATGATTATTGAGAGGAGATTTAATTTTGAACAATCAGAATTTAGCTGATATTGCTCAGGGTGTACTCATTTCTGCTGTTGCATATAACAGCTTCATAATCAGTCTCAGGTTACGAGTCTAAATTGGGTTTTTTTATAGATAAAATGAGTGGAAAGTAGGGCTGCAAGGTGGCTCGGTGGTTAGCATCGTTGCCTCACAGCTAAAAGATCCCTGATTCGCATCCCGGTTTGGACACCCGGGATCTTTCTGCGTGGAGTTTACATGTTCTCCCCGTGCAGTGTGGGTTCTCTCCGGGTTCTCCGCCTTCCTCCCACAGTCCAAAAACATGTTGAGGTTAATTGGTGATTCTAAATTGTCCGTAGGTGTGAACGTGAGTGTGCTTGGTTGTCTGTCTCTAAGTGTAGCCCTGCGATAGGGTGTCAGCTGGGATAGACTCCAGCCCCCCCGCAACCCGAGTGAGGATCAAGCGGTGTATAGATGATGGATGGATGGATGGAGAGTGGAAAGTGCTTGCAAAAGATTGTATAAGTTGGACAGATAACAATAAGAGAAAAAAGAAAATGATGGCTGATGTAGATGCTTATTTTGTTCTGCAGCTGGACACCTGGCAGACCTCACATCGATTCATATTTCCTGCTCAGCTCTGGGTGCAGACCTGATACTGAACAGCTCGGGTCAGCCAGAATAAAGACGGTGCACTACAAAATCCCCTCAAACAAACGCTGCTAATACTATACGGCTCTGGAGAGACTAAAACAACCGTGATGGCTTGTACAGTAAAATCATTAAATATGCAAAAGGAAAAAAAGTAATTTGGAGAAGATTAGACCGCATACCGATGGTAGATCTCGATTCCCCTGAGATCTCTTTGAGCACAGAGACATCTCGCAGTGCAGGAAGAGAAGGGACATGTTGAACTTTGAGTTGAAGGTGAAGCTGAAAGTTTTCTTATCCATTTTTATGTGAGGGACAGGGAAATCCCTCTGAGGATAGTATTTTACGGAGTCATCTGTGGGGCAAACTGTCTCGATGAGCCTGTAGCCTGAGACCATGCTGGGGTTGGAGTTGGGAGAAATGAAGCATGATATGATGGTGAAGCCCAGCTCTGGATCTGATGCCGGAGAAGTGACCTGGAACACATAAAAGAGAAGGAAAAAAAAGATTTTACCCTTCACATGCACAGACTTTTTGTCTTTGACGTGACAAGCCTGTTATCATGAATAGGACTGAAGTCATAATAATGTCATTTTACACTCACTTTGCTGTGATCAAGCCTCAAACCTATTGTTCAGTGCTTATTCAAGATAAGACAAGAGATAGCATACTCGTACCTGGCTCTGTCCTGCACATAACCTTCTGCAAAACAACAATTCCTCATTTGAAACTTGCGGTTTTTGCACAGATAAAACAAATAAGATATATGAATTGAATTACTGAGCCTTAGATGTGTATTTAGTCAGATTTTGTTTCTGTTGGACAGAGCCGGTCTTGCTAACAGCCAAGTTAACCGTCTCCTGAATGGAGTTTTACATCTAGCATACAGGAATGAGAACGGTATCAAACTTCTAATCTCACTCTCGGCAGGAAAACAAACAATTTACAAAATGTCTAATAATTTCTGTACAGCTGATTGAATCAATGTTTTTATATTAGCATTGGATCAAATGAGAGTTTAATGTGAAACGGGTCACTTGTAATAACCCGGTTCCCCAAAGCTCTGCGGAGCTCCTGGTTTCTTTTTACTCGTTGTTTGAGTTTTATGGTTCAGTTCGATTTCACTGTTCCAGCAGTCGTCTTAACCTGCTGAACCTCAAAACCTAATAGAGGGTTTCAAAGGCATGTTATTTTGAAGAAGATTTATAAAATGTCACTATTTATCTGAGCAAAAAATTGCAAAAACTCAAAGGATCATCAAGTTTGCAAATTCCAGGAGGTTCATGAATGAGTCATCTCTGGCATGCTATTATCAAAATCAGAATCAGAAACAGATTTATTGCCAGGTGTAGTTGAGAGAATACGAGGAAGTTGTTCTGGTGGGTTGGTGCAACAATAAATACAGAGTAAGGTACAATGGACAAGATAAAAATGTAAAAATAGCTAAAAAATAAAAGTAACTCAAAATAAAAATAACTGCAACAGTGCAAAGCAGAAGCAAAAAAAATTGTGGAGTGCAGAATTAAAGTTAAATTCAAATAAGAACCATAAAACTATTTACAAGAACATTGAGGGTGCAGATATGTTGATATTTACATTTATACAGATCAGCAAAAGAGTGCAAACTGAAGGTGTGTAAGTGCAACATGACCAATAACAGTGCAGATGATGAGATGATGAGCAAAGAAAGAAGTAACACGTTCATGTAACATAATTATGTCAGGAAAATTAACCAAACCTAAGCTTAAAATCGTGACATCCCTTCAATCTGCATCCTGTATTTTAAAATTCTGCAAAAAATAAGCTCTTTACATCAGCAACAACAACTTGCTCGCCTCTGTAATGTTTTGGAAGCATGCTGCATTTATTTCATTGATCCAGTAGGTTTTATTTTCCCCTCAGTTACTCTTATCGTCTCCGATCCGCTCTGTGTAAAAACACAGCATGCGGCTAATCTGAAAAGTCTCAGATTCTTTCTCACTCAACTGTTGGTCAAAGGCAGGAACACACCATTTTTTGCTTTTCTAAAGAACCTGGATGCTTTATTTTTGTCAAATTACTTCATGACACATGAAGAAAAAAGCTATTTAAATGAAATATCACAATTTTAAGTGTATTTCTGGTTAATTGCTCTGACAAAACTGTTCACACAATACATTCACAGACACTCAAAAAGTTGACAATCCGACAATTGTTTCTGTTTAAATCTGGGTTTTGAGTTTCATGAGCAGTTTTCAACTACAACTTTTGGTGGTTCAGGAAAACTGCATTGTCTTTCTCCCTGCTCAATGAACCACTTGCTACCACTGTGAGGGTCTGGAAACCACAGCGAGGATTTCTGCCTGGATATTGACACAAGTCAGAAATCCAAACAAATTCATTCAAGTTGACTTTCAGTCCTAGTCAGGATGGCAGGGATATTTTTTCCATCTGTAACCACAAGACAGTCCCCTGAGTTATTATCCCTCCCCTTTTGGATTGTCAGTGATGGTATCCTCATTAGAAAGGTCTTCGCCAGAGTGAAAAACAGACACAGACACATAAAAACAATATCTAAATGACACAGATAAAAGCCTAGAATACATAACTGAGCTGAGGTTAGGATATATTGTATGTCCACATTAGTGAGAGGGATGTTCTGAACAAACAAAAAGCCGCTCTGTGAGCATCAAAGTGCACTCGTCCACCTTTTGGCCATCGCCTCAGGTCAGGTCTCAGCACAGTGTGAGTTCTGAGAGGAAGGCTATGCCTTAGCCTCTCACACAGACAGCTCTTTGTAACCCACTGGCTTTGTGTCCACACTGTCAGTGAAGCATCTCCTGCTGATATCATCATAAATCACCTCTTCAAAGGAGTAAGAAGAGTCTTTGCTCTCTTATATGAAACAACACAATTACTGTTGTGAAACAAATATTTTGAGCAGACAGGATTTGAAACCGGCAGAGAGGAGTGAGGGGTGAATGTAAGTGTTAGCTTTTTAGCCTCAGCTAGACAAAATACAAACTGACCCTGTGGATGCCACACTACGAGATCAAAGCGGAAACAGCTCAAGCCCCAGACAGAGAGCACACACGGCGCAGCTTTCCCTGCAAAAGTTTTAATTTAAGGACCAAAACACACAGCATGCACACTGAGATGAGTATTATAAACGCAAAGCATACCTCCACAAACACTTGCTGATTTTGTGAAACAGTGTAGAAGGCCTGGCGTGTAGGATTGATGAACGGCGGGGTGTTGTACAGCTCCATGGTAAACGTCATGTTGTTGACCGGCTGCCTGGACGGTCCCGGTACAATCCTGGGAACTGTGTCGAAGAGGTCCTGGTTCTTTCTGTATGTGCAATTGAACTGGGAGGAGAATAAAACAAAGCCAGCACAAACATCAGCAGGGATCTGACATTAGATTCCATTGCTAAGCACCCTCACCCTACATGACTGTTTGACTGCATTAAGATGAAAATAGAGAAGAACCGTAAGAGACACTGTATAAACAAAAACAATAAGTGGGAGATGATGGAATGGATGAGATAAAGGAAAATAAGTCAACAGAGACAAGATGGAAAAACGTTAAAATGGAAAATGTCAGGTCAACTCTAACAAACGAACATCATGGAAAGATGGAGCGACTGCAGGAGCCAGATGAGTCTTTACTAGCACCAAGGGGCTCTGGGAAATGGAGTTTCTTCCAAATGCGAATGATTTAATGTATACAGAGATGCAGTTTATCAGTGGTCTTGACTTGTTAACCTTCACCCTGCAATCAAGAGCAAAGAAAGAGGCGCAATGAGCCCACTATCTTACCCCTATGATGGATGGCTGCTCCACATGATCCACCGGACCGCCACTCCCATCCTTAGTCTCGGCATGACTGATCACGACCTGCAGTCCACAGAGATTTGTTAGTCACAAAAGTAAAGCCGAATCAGTCAGCAAGTGAAAGGAAACTTTCACAAAAATAATTTCCAGATCTTTTTTTTTTTTTTAAACATATCCAGTTGTGAGTAATGTTGACTAAGCCAGGAACAGTTCTAATTCTCAGAGGAGGTCAACAAAAAATCCTTGCTTAACCCTCTGAAACCCAAGAAGCTTTAGTGAGCTAGAAGTGTTTTGCTCCTGTCACATTTTACTGACTGCTGGATCAGTTTTCACTCACAGGTACATTCCTGCACCTCTATGGAAACAGAATTCAAAATAATGCCATAAATCGTAAGTATTGGAAAGAAATGGTGGCTCTACATACCACTGATATTTTACTAACAACATATTCATTTGTTTTCATACCTATCTGCTTCTTGTATACACAGCCTGCAATTCAGCTGAACTCTAGTGATGTGAATGTCGGTTGCAGCTGAGACACAAATGGCTTCACATTGGCATAGAGGAATGCAGAATTATTTCATTTTTATAGAGCGCAGTTTGACCAAATGGTTTATTTGTAGTGACTTTCTAAGAGACACAAGTTCAATAAAGTGATTTTGATTACATATCGTGATGTTAAGTTGAGCTTTGGTTCATTTTCGAGCCTCAACAATGCATCACACATGATTAGTTTAAGAACCAACAGATGGTTGAGAGTCTTTGTGTTTTTACAGTGTCTGGTTGATTATTTGTGTAATTCTGGCGGTTTTGTAAAGACAAAACGCCTTTCAAACCAAAAAGTTGCTTAAACAGAGGGTCAAAATGTGGGAAAGTGCTGTGGCTTCAGCATAACAAAACATATTTGGGATTTCTCAGTAGAGCAGAGACATGTCAGGGGCCTCGAGATGCTGCTTGAAGAAAACAACGACACTAACAGGATCCCAAATGTCAGCTGACCCGCCACTTGGTCACTGCCGCGTCATATGAACTTATCACACCGCCATGGAGACAGCAGCCAAAACACATGATGTTTGATGTGTGGGGACCGAGACAATGAAAATTAATCTCCTTTGGCCAGAGGTCAGAGGCTGTCCCTGCATCCAAGTGTTAACACAAAAGATGACCTTGGACATCCGCCCGGGTTTTTCAATCTCCACTGGATAGAAAAAAAAACTGTTGTTCCAAATTTCCCCACATAAAAGATTATAAAGGTCGGGGAGGAAGTGATTCATCTTTGCTTGTTAGAACAAATACGCTGAATGAATGCATTCCATAATAATGAAGATAACTGTGCATGTCAGATGTGAATGTTGAAACCCATAAAAAACAAGTCAGTGTTCACCATTATATAAAACAGTGGAGCAGCATTGTAAGACAATACAAATTATGGTCACAGTGCAGCTATTGTTCATATTTTTCTGTTTTCCAGCTGTACACAAACAAGGGAACAATTCTCTGGATATATTTGTGCAAACAGCATCTCAATGCCAAGCCTCTGAGCAAACACATTGTCTAACAGGAGTGCCTTCGTCTCTACATTTGATATTGCTGCTCTTTAGATGTTTTCACTGAAATGGTCCTTGACTTAAACGTTAAATATGTTTAAATATGTTTTACTTTTGTTACCTGATAAAGAAGACTATGTGATTTGGGCTTCTTTTGAATAGTTTTCACATCCTCACAGTGCTTATGCTCATTTTTCAGCGTGAACAAAAACTGAATATTGACATCGGTAATATTGGTTATCTACGATATCAGAAATCTGAATATCGGATATCGACATCAGCCAGAAATTTTTGTATCTTGCATCACTAGCCTAAATCACAAGTGTCAAGTCTCCTTCAGTACAGCTTCATTTTCATATAGCAAATTTTCCATTTAGAGGAAAACAGACAATAAAACAGGGAGTTTTCTATGTCGGGGCTACATTGTGATTGATAGTTCCCTATCATAAGACCATGTGTCTTTTCCTAAAGTTCTCAGTCAGATTCACCAGCAGGAAAGTAGATGACAGACACTTTAACTGCATGTGTTGCCACAGGAACTGAAGTCAAGCAATCGTGGCATTGTTGAAAAACGTAATAGCAGATAATGTACTCACAGAGTTAATGTGGAGGGCCATTGGGCTGTCTGGCAGGGGATATACAGCAGTCTGACAGCCAGTCAGAGAAGTTTCCAGCGTGTAGTGGGTGGCATTGACTGTTGCTTTGCATTTTGGGTCTTCCAGCGTGAGGTTGGCATGAGGGAACCCGTTGGCCTGTGGGAACATCAGAAAAATGGCAGCATGGGGAAAAAGATCAAAAACGCTTTCCCTTTATTAACTCATTCTCAGAATTGTATAAAACATAAGAAGAAGAAGAAGAAGTAAAAAGTCGGAGTGGTTGTGTGAAACTTTGAGTTCTCAGGAATAAACAAATCCCACAAGGTGGTCTCGCTCCAGCTCCTAATTACAGTCTATGCCAGTTTCCATTCTGTGATGTGGGCTGACTGAGCTGTCCCCATGTTCAGATGCCAAATGTTTGGAACAGTGCTGCTCGCTTCAGCGTCGGCCTGTGCAGGGATTATTTAATTCCTCTTTACTTTGTCTCATTTCACTTTTGTGGAGGCGAAACTCACCTTCCCTGCTTACGTAAAGAAGAGGTCATGGCAACCTGTAAAACTGATCTGTACGGTGGACAACCTACGTGATTAACCACACATGACCATCGGGTTTGTATAGTTTGATGGCTTTTGGTTTAGTGTCCATTATATGCAGGCTGTTTTACGACAGATAAATATTAAACCAAACTATTCATGATAATCATTAGTAAGAGGTTTCTAGGCAAGATCAATGACCCACAATGCCATGTTGCTCACTCACTTGCAGACTCTCTTTATCGATGCTGACCACCATCCTCTTATCCTCACACTTCACACTGAGGCCGACGCTCAGAACACCCTGCTGCTCCTCGGGTTCTCCATCATCCCAGGGCTGCTCGCCGAAGCCGGAGGGCAGATGGAGGTAGGGCAGGCCCCCGGACGAAGGTGGAGGGAACTGAAAAGGAAGACCGGAGCGTCGCATTGCAGTTCCAGGTCCAGGATGGGGACTGGAATTGCGCAGGATGGAGAGCTCGGGAGGCAGTTGGCTCTCCAGAGGATCCACCACATCTGGAAGTCACACAGAGCTTCATGAGGCTGATTTTACAAGCAGGGAAACTGCAAAGAACTATAAAAACTTTAAACAATTTCACACTAGTTTAAATAATAAGGTCTCAATAAGGCGTGTAAAATGTGGAATATTAGCTATTAAGAAAGCTTTAGCAGCTGTTAAAGGGCGCGACTTTCACGCAGCATTTTAAATGAACACACAGGTGGAGAATTTCGAGGACTTTTCTTCTGGTTACCTGGCTCTCTAAGTCGGATGTTGAAGTGGTTGGCCACAGGAGTGCTGGTGTAGGATGTAACTGGACTGTAGCCATGCTCCTGTGCCCACTTGATCAAGGCTTGTGGCCCTGATGGTAGGTGCTGTTTGGGGTGTTTGGACGCTGATGCATGTGAGCTAACACTCACGGTATCAGATGCCTGTGGAAAAGACAGCTCATTATTTTTTTTTCCATCAGAAACTTCCTAAAATCATAGTTTCTGCAAGAGCACAAAGATCTTTGTCACAAAAAGATGTGATTTACTGTTCAGGTATTATCACAGATATTCAACTTCAAGTACAGTCCTGCACTTATTCTGTGTCAACTGTGAATCATGTGAATGGGCGTGAGGTAATGGGCGTGTCGCAGCTCGATCAATGCTGAGAACGCAACGTGTTAGCTTGCTCCTACAATTCATGTCCTGCCCTGCTGCTCGCTCACTGAGGGAGTACTAGTTCTTTCTCACAGCCATTTCCCACACATTCAAATCTCTTAAGCAACACTGACAGAAGTGAGGGCTCAGTTTTACGAGGCTGTCATATCACATGCATAGTTGATGATCTCCCAAACGCTGGTTGCACAACCACAGCATCCTGTGTACCACGGCAGTCAAGAAAAAGTTAACATGTCAGCTGTTTGGGAGCTACAAAATGACCTTGCATTTCAATTGACCCTTTACAGGGTTTAATATAAATAACAATGAATAACGTCACTACCAGCTGTTTGTAGCAGATTGACAATGTATTCCTCATTAAAAACCAGTGCAAAACTTAAAGGTAACCATTGAAATACACATTTACACTCACTGTGCACTTCATTTTTGGATTAGCTGGGTGTTAGGAGGAGTTTGGAAATGCCAAGATGGCAACAGCTGGAGGCACCACACAGCTTCAAAACAGCTTATCAGGAAACCTATGAGTGACGTCATGAAGGGTTCATCCATCTTTATAAACACTGCGGCGGCCCAACAGACTGACCGACACTGACTGCTGCTGGCCTGGCTAAAACATTTGATAGCAATAGTTTCTCAAAAGTTAGAATGTTTTTGGACTGTGGGAGGAAGCCGGAGAACCCAGAGAGAACCCACGCTGCAAACTCCACACAGAAAGATCCCGGGTGTCCTCACTGGAACGCAAACCGGCGACCTTCTTGCTACGAGGGGATGGTGCAAACCACCGATCCACCTTACAGCCTGGTTTAACATAGATGCATTCCTTCACTCTGCTCTCAAACCATTGGTTAACTTGCATCTAAAGTATAAAGGTTTTGAGGACACCAGTGTACATTCTGTACAGAGATGATGGTTTGATGGAAGAATTATGTATGTCTATGTTAAAATGGAATAGCCATCTCAAAACAGAGGAGGGTCCACAGCACCTATTATCAGGTACTTATAATGCAGTCTGGAGATCCATCAGCTGGCAACCATTCACTAATCACACCTCATTATTAGGCCATAATCCATGTGATTTGGGGTTGACGATATACATCTGGGACTCCCCATCAGTCAGTCAGAACTAAAGAAGCCTCTCAAGAGGTAAAATGCTTTCAAGAACCAAAAAGTAAGAAGTCCAATTGCATTCTGTTCTGTTCCTTTTGTTTCATCTTTCTGCGTCTGCTGTACTGAATGTAAATGAACAAAACATGTGAGTGTATTCGTTGGGCACATTACACATGACTGTTTTGTGCTGTTCTATAAGTTTCACTGGTTTTGACATTAAAGCAGCAACCAGGCAGCTGTACAAACACTCTGCGCCTGGCAAAAGTGCAGCGTCATAGCGGCTGCAGAACCGTAGGAGTATCGGCATTTCACTCTGAGGAAACAACACGCCGCACACCTCCACTGGAATCAGTACAGGGCTGAGAGAGCAGAAAGGCAAACTGATGATGATCCCGTAATAAAGTAAATACCAACGTCACCAGACGTATGAATCATTTTGAAATGTTCGATACTGGTTAGCCTCTTTAAGTTTTATTGCACTGATTTTTTTTTTGCAGGAGAAAAAGACGAGGTATAAGATTCCAACCCTGGAGCAAATATGGCGGTTGGACAACCTCCAGTTCTGCATCGACATGATCTACAGTTTAAAAATTCTTCCAACGTGCGCTCAGGTGTCTTATTCTTATGGGTTCCTGGGAGACTTGAGTAGCGGTAATGAAGATTTAATTTCAAAACTTTATACACATGCTTAGTGTTGATATGTACAAAACCATATGTCTGAGTTAAGGGCACCGTGATATATTGTAGTAATTAGCCAGTGTTTGTCTTTTGTGTGTGGTGAGGAGGTCCTAAAAGTGCCTGAAGCAAGCGCTGCTCATAATTCACATTATGACTGATGAGAAGCAGCTCGGGCTCTGCTGCAGCCTTGGCTCTGAAAGTATGTGATGCCCCCACCGCTCCGGCCCCTCTAGCTCTCTGAAAGGGATGACAATCCCCGGAGCAGCCGCCATGAAATTTCACAGCTCTTCCTAACCTGTTATCCCCACCTTGTCCTGCAGCATGGACCGAGCGCCAATTCAACACATATCTCGTTGTGACAAATTCTCTGGCCAGTGGTGAAAAGTGTTGACATTTCTGTCTGAGGCGCGACTTGTGAGCCTGTGTGATGTGTGGTACGACTATTTAAAGTCTCCTGTGATGTCTGTGAAGCAAAAAAACAAACGCATCCCTTGATGAAAAGCTTTTTTTCTGTCGTTATTCTGCTAGCGTACCACGACGTCCAGCTTGCCAATCACGTTGTGGGCTTTGACAACCCAGTTGACGGACTTGGCGCATTTGAGGAGCAAGACGACGTCACGAAACACCGCGGCATCGTCCTTCAGAGGCCGCAGATCGACTATGACATCCACCTGGAAAGCACTGCAGGAAAAGAGAAAGGAAAAAGAGTTTTGGATGGTTAGGGTCGACGTGTTATCATGCCTTCTATGTCTGGCCAACTAATTAAAAAGCTGGACCCGATCCCAGGAAAAAAAAAAAAGAAGCCCGACATATGCACTACAGACCAGATAGCACCAGAGCGAGAGACAACACAGCTACCAATGCATTCCCACATTTGAGGTCTTATGGGTGTACAGAATAATCACTCCACTGGGGAGTGAGGACATTATCTGGCAACCTGGACGTAGAGACCCAGTTTTGAAATATCATCCTCAAAAGAACATGACTGAGTGAAAAGTGACCCCCCTCTGCCTTCATGTTAGTTCCCATCCAAAACAAACTCCACAGAGATTAGTGAGAGCATCCTGACCTCAAAAATAAACTATGACAACATGTACTCGTGGCTTCGGCTGCTCTGGCTGCTCACCTGCTGGAGTTGGGGGCTTGGAGCTCGATGATGTGGACTTCTTTGTCTTTGTTGGGTACGGACAGGACGCAACCCTTTGAGGTCTGTGGCTCCTCGTAGCTGCCCAGGTAGTTCAAAGACAGGAACTTGGTATCGATCTTGCAGGTGTCAGAAAACACTGGATCTGAAAGGGGAGAGAAGCTTGTGTTAGCGGTCGGGGGGGTCTGTGAGGCTATTTTGATCCTCCAAAGTAGAAGTACAGCTTTCTGTTTCGTCTTCACCACTGAGAGGTCAGAGCCTGAGGTCAGCTACAGAACAGCACCCCTGGTTCTGGGAGGAATTCAAGGTCCTGCTCAGGGAGACTTGAGAAGGGTGAATGTTTGCTTTGTCCCAGCTGTTCCAGGAACAGTTTCCTTGCAACCCTGCAGCTGGTATTCCCATTGTCTCTCTTCCAAATGCAGCACGAACAAGGCCCAGGCCTGTGTGCCCAACGAGGTTGGGCGTGCTCTGGTTGGCATGACCTGTCTTCCTATCAACAGGGAAACTTCTCTTTTTATTTTACGTGGGAAAACTCAGCAAGGAATTTTACCAGGATTTCTTCGCAATAACAGGATAATAACATCACACAGAATCAAACCTTCTTGTGTTTCCTCACTTCACTTTCGCAACTTTTAAAAAATTCATTTACATGAAAAGTTATGCTCCTTCTCAGCACTCAGAGAAAACATGAGACAGATGCTTCCTTATTTGGCAAACAGAACTTTGGACAGAGTGTAAACTAAAGGTTGGCACCTTCCTCTCCGGATCTCTTGTGGCACTTTAAGGAGCCGAGGAGAGATCTTGATGATGGTCCTGCTTAGGAAGCAAAGTGACAATCTGTGCATCTTCATGAAACACTACCGAAGATGTGAAGGAATGGAAATCTACTGCTCTTTACTTGAAGTAAACATCGTGGCACTCTGAGGTTTGGCCAAACCTCAGCCCCTAATGACACAAGCCAAAGCGCTTCAATCTGAGCAGCCACTCTTCTCTCCACAGTAACTAGCAACACAGGGAGAGAACTTACTCATCACCAGCAGCAGTGGAGCCATTATTTCTCTCCGGACGCAAGCTTTGCTTTCTTTATTTCCACGTAGTGAAAGATTCTCATTAAAAACAAGATAGGCTGTCTGAGAGCTGATGAATTGTGAAGGGGGACGTGCAGTCTGTTCACTGAATGAACCGGCCAGCAGAAAATGAAGAATTGAAAGTCTGCATCTTGAACACGTGTGGAGATCGATCACAGCCTCCCCTGAGAGTCTCCCAGTGCTTCTTCAAATCAGACACACTCCTGCCTCAGCTTACGTATTGGAAAAATTGAACAGGTGTCATCTATCTTTTGTGTTTTTTCCCCCTCCTACTATCTACCCACAAGAAGACATTTGTGACATTTGATTGTTGTAGTTTAGCTGCACTGTAAACAGATTGGAGCTGCAACTCTAAATCTATTATCTGTCGACTAGTAAATCAATCGCCAAATATTTTGATTGAATTGATTAATCCGTTTAAAGACCCCTTACCGCCGCAGACTGTAAAACTTTCCTACAGAGGTTTTGAAGCTCGGGTTTGTGGCTCATTTTAGAGCAGCAAACTGTGTATGTTGTATGGATGCAGGTTTTTTGCAAAATAAATATTCAAAGAAATGAGGCCACAGTGAATAAAATGCTTGTGGGGTTCAAAGGGTTGATGTAAATCATATGGATGATATTATTATGTTAATTTATGCCTTTGTTTATATACTTCTAAAACCTGTTTATGGGAACTTAATCTGTGACAGCATGCAGATGTATGCAGACATACTGGTACGCTGTATTCAACCATGACATCTACTTTATATAAACCTGCGGTGCAAGAATGAAGTTTTGTTCTATTGTGTTCACACAGAGGAGGCAAAATGTACCACAGCACAATTATCGTGATTAGTCTGACAATTATTTTGTTGGTTAACCGAAGATTTAAAAAAAAAGCCTGACATACTTTCCTTATTTTTTTCTATAAATTTAACTCTTGAATCTCTGACTAGATTCACTGCCACATGAGATGAGAAAAGCAGAAAATCCTCCAAATTTGAGAGACTGGAACGTGACTATTTTTCTTCTTTTTGAAACTGTGAAGCTGATTTATTCATTTTTGCAGCATCTAATCAATTAATTGTTTCAGTTCTAATGAAAACCAAGATGAGATGTTCATACATTTAAAAAGTACAACCATATTTATTCGAAATAGTTTGTCAAAATATTACCGTTACTCTTCAGCTGTGCAGCAGTTCTTAGGGCTGTAAGCAGCGAAAACTCAGACATACCACAGGCAGCCTGTTAAATAGTGTGAAAGGGTGAAAGTCTTTTGAGGAAAGTAAATTCTTTTCCTGGAGTGGTGCATGTAAACCTCTAGCCTGGGCTAAAACACAAAAGCTAAGTAAAGTTATGGGAGCCAAAGGGGAATCGGAGGGGGGGTGCCATGCCTTGGGGCCTAGAGCTATGTTTGGGAATTTTGTGAATCTGGTGCACACCTTCTCCGACTTTGATGTAGATGGCTTGAGTCATCCTGAGCTCAGAGAAGGAGGTGACTGCCCTGTACTTCTTCTGGGCCCAGTTGAGGAGGTGCTCGTTGCCATGGGGAAGCGTCTCCTCCAGGATCTCGGTGAAGAGGGAGAAGTTTCCCGACTTAAAGTAGACCTCGGAGCCCTCGGATACCTTGAGGAGGAGAAAAGGCAGGAATGTTAGAAGACAAAAGCAACTGCTGGGATGAGCTGTTATCAGTTCTGTGCAATGTGTTTCCTTCCATTTGTTCAGCTTTACTCATGTTCAACAGCCATTTCTGTGAAGCTGTGCACAAAAGCAAAACATTTTCAGACGATAATGGTGTCTCCACAACCGACTGAATCTGAAAATCCACCAGCGGGCTTTAAAAGGCATGTTGTATTTTTTAAATTTCCAAAATTAGACCATTCAGACAAACTAAAAACTGTAAAAACTGAAAAATCTGTGGATTTTTGTCGTTCTGGTGGTTGAACTTGGCTAAGACCAACAGTTCTGGGACTTTTTGGCTGAACTGGACTGAACTGCAGGTTGTGTTTAAATGGAGCAGATAGAAGACAGGTATGGAAACGAATTAAAAATGGAAATAGTAAATTATCTACAGTATTCAGAGTATTATTACAACCTGTAAGCACCAGGAAAAATATTTTCTTTCTTTTTTATCCTATTTGGTGATATAATGGTGTCATTCTGCACAAAAAACCTGCACATTCTTGTCATGGTTGTACTTTTTCCCATAGAGATGCAAGACTTTGTATTGCACTGAAAAATGAACCCACAGTAAGTAAAAATGTGACAAGAGCAAAAAAAAAACCCCAAAAAACCCAAAACCCAGAAACTGTTCAGGACTGAGGGGGTTGAAAGAAAATCATAATTATGCATTTCACTTATCTTTACAACTTTTCAAACCTTCAACTGACAGAGATCCCATCTGTTGAGAGTGAAATGCTCATAAAGGTCAACTCAACATCACTCATCCTTGTTTTGCCTCAGAAAACTAAAACAAAGATCCTGCTGGCAGACTTTTAAAAAAAAAAAAAAAGAAAAGAAAAAAGAAGAGCACGTCCTTTCCAAAATTAAACCAGCTCTTTAAACACTGGTGAAACCCATCCCTCATACTCCATCCCAGCCGTCATTGCGAAGCTTCTACAAATATGCTGTGCGTATTTTTGCACATGTTCCCTGCACAATAAGGTTTCCAGTGTTTATACTGAGCGCTGCGTCATCGCTAACGTGTAGGTGTGCTTCAAAATGGTCACAAAGGCTAACAGAGAAAACACAAACTCTTCACAGAGACAGACACATAAACCGAAAGATATAAATGCCAAAAGGTGAGCATACATACAGCTGAGCCAAGTTTAGATTTATAGTGAATTTTTATTGACCAATAGATTTCTTCTGGCTGGAAATGACATAAACAAGTGATGAAGGAGAGTAAGACACTGTTTGAAACATGTTAATTGTGTATTTTATGTAGTTATGTTGGTTTTAAATTAAAAAAACAATAATAATAATAGTAACTTCCAACATATTGTAGAGCATTCTAATAGGTATAAATGGGACCAGCTAATGCAGAAGTTCTCTGGTCAGTAAAGAGTCAATTGTAAGTCATGGCCAAAGGAGGACCTCCGGCTGTGAATTGTGGCTGCTCACAAGACAGCAAAAGGTGTTTTCAAGTGCCAGTGGCCACAATGGAAAGAATAATCAACAAGTACAAGGAGTTCCACACCGTGAAAAATATCACAGGGTGTGGTAGGAAGCTAAAGGAGGCCCCTGCACCGGAAAAAATGGTGGAGGCAGAGAAGAACCCAAGGATCACTACCAAGACCATCCTGATGAATCTGGGGGCAGGAATGTAAAGCGTTGGGTTTGTTTTTCAACCAGTGAACCAGGTAACCTTGTCAAAATAAACTGCATCATGAGAAAAGAGGACATCAAAAGAACTATGGAGGACAATGTCAGGCAGACTGTAGGAAAAACTTGGCCAGCAATGGACCTTCCAACAAGGCACTGATCCAAAACATTTAGCAAAAGTGGTCAAGAAATGATTAACAGAAAACAATATGAACATTATGAAGTCACCCATCAAAAATCTGTGGAGGGAACTGAAGACTATGGCAAGGAAGCCCTCTAACCTCAAAGACCTGGAGACCATCACAAAAAAGGGTGGAGCAAAATCTCAGCGTAGACATGCAGGAAACTTAGGAACTAACTGACCGATGTGGAGGATTTACCACTGATTACTGAGAATTTTGGACCTGACAAAAAATCTAAAACAACATAGAAATAGTTGAAATTTATTATGACCATCTCTAACACAGTGTCTTGTTGTCTTCTGTCACTGTTTTCCAAACAGAAGAAACCCATTGGTCAAACAAAAAATCACTATTTATCAAAATTTGATGAATAATTTTGGGCTTAAGTGTATAAAAAGTAAAAAAAAAAATTGAAAGAGACAGGAAAGCTGGCGCTGCCACATTTAGGAGGCACCTCCTTTGGCACTTAATGGAGCTCAGCCCCACTGCTTCATTTCAGAGAGATAAACACTCACATGTGCTGAAAACCAACGAACAACCGAATGCGTCCAAGCGCACGGTCTAGACAGCCTACCTCATTTTATTTCTCTGCTTGTTTTTCTTTCTTCTGAGGTATTCTATCTGTATGCATGAGCTGAGACAGCGCTGGCAGGCACCAATTAAAACATTAAATCCAAAAAGGAAAACCACTTCTCTGCGATGATGTTATGAAGTTGTCCCTAAATTGCAATCATGCTTTAATGATAACACAATAATATCCCTTCGGGGTGTTTAAGTTTTTCAGACATAACTTTTCAAATCCCCTCATGCGCAACATCTGTCTGACCTCTGGACGCTCCTCTCGGTGTTCCTGGCATTGTCACCAGAGGCCGTAAATACTGAAGCCGAGGAGACAGACTCTGTCGAAGAATTCAGGTTGACGTTATTTTTAGTGTGCTTACTACGGTCAGAAGTAACAGAGTAAAAGAAAGATGGCGAAGCGGAGAGAGGTGGCGCGCCGAGCCGCCGAGGAGGAGCCGGGGTTTCTGAGCGAACGTTGCCAAGTTCAGCAGAGTTTATCAGTTTAATTGCGGGAATACGACCATAATTAGTCGCAAAGAATTAGAGGGGAAAGCCTGAAAGCCAAATTAGCTGCAGGCCTCGCAGAGCCCTGAAAACCTCAGGAATTTGAAACGGGGAAGTGAGAGACCCACTCTGGGCTTTAACAAACTCTCCCTCTCTGCTCTTTCTCTCTGCACAGCTGACAGACCAAGAAGTGCTGGAAACCAAAAAGCAATTTCTGTCACTGGCTTAAATAGAATATATAAACATAAATACACTATGCTGCATACTATTTACATAAGCTGTCATTCAACACTCTGGTGTTACTTTTGCTGCTCACATAAATGCCTCATTAACCCTCAGAATCCCAAAGACCACCAGCAATTGTGAAAGTTATCTTTTTAAAACTTTGGCCAAAATTACACATTTTGTCGGTCAGACACTGTAAAAACTGTTTTGGGGAAATTCTCTGACAGCACGTCTCAGATTACATTACTTTGCACATCAACTCCAGAAAGATGTTTCACTATGCTGAATGCATCTTCCGACAACTTTGCTGCTCTGTGTGCTGTTTTTGTTTCGTGCTGTATTTATTTTGCAGCTCAAATATGTTTTATTTTCCTCTCCATCACCCTAATTTGTTTCTGTACTTGTCTCCTAATCACAGCCGGAATTTCAGCGGGAAAGCAACAGATTTTTTGTCTTGACACAGCTCGGTCACTCGTGGCTTTTCAGTTGTATTACGTTCAATGAGATTCTTAAAATATAGTGGTTTTAATGGGTCTGTGCATCAACGTGGTTCAAGGAATGTCAGAAAGTTGAATTCTTTCTGTTTATACAGTAGAATAAAGTGATATTTCATGTCTCATTTAAAAATTCAACTGGATAGAAGTCCATCCATCCATTATCTATACGCCACTTAATCCTCATTAGGGTCATGGGGGGCTGGAGTCTATCCCAGCCGACTTAGGGTGAAGGCAGGGGACACCCTGGACAGGTCACCAGTCTATTGCAGGGCTACACTTAGAGACAGACAACCAAGCACACTCACATTCACACCTACGGACAATTTAGAATCACCAATTAACCTCAACATGTTTTTGGACTGTGTGGGAGGAAGCCAGAGAACCCGGAGAGAACCCACGCTGCACGGGGAGAACATGCAAACTCCATGCAGAAAGATTCCGGTGTCCCTACCGGGACGCGAACCTTCTTGCTGCGAGGCAACAGTGCTACCAACTGCGCCACCCTGCAGCCCCTGGATAGAAGTGTTGGAACAAATTAAAAATGTAAATAATATCTATTATATGTTTGTATGAGTTACTATTTTTTCCAGGATTGGTAACACCCATGGGCACATATATTACATTTTTTCATATTTTTTATGCCATCATAACTATATTACACCTCACATGCGACACTTTTGAGTTCTCTCTACTTCTAGCCATCTTTGTGCTGTTTCCATGGAGATGCAGGACTTTATATTGCAGTGAAAAATGAGTCCACAAGCGAGTGAAAATGCAGCAGCAGCAAACAAAAACTGGATTCAGAGGACTAAACTGAAACTATTACCATGACAGAGCGTAAAGTGCTCGGTTTTGTTTATTCTCATATCAGAAAAGTCTAGAAAAAGCTCGCAGTATTGGATTCCTGTTGACCAACCACCGCTTGCAGCGTGTCTGTCCAATGTTCTCCTGAGCAGCGCGTTGCCAAGTAAAGCACAACTGCATGAAAACAGAGCTCATCTCTTATTAAGCTATCTATTGCTATTACTGCCAACAACTGTCTTGAACGTGGATTTTCTTAGCTGTGAAGAGCTCGTAATGCGCTCTGAAGTCGAAAAGCTGGATATTACCTCGACTTGAGAGGAATTCCTCGGACTTGGCAGTTGAGTGCAAACAAAGAATGCAGAGGAGAACTTACATACCATGGGGACTGAAACGCATGCTTTCATGTTCGTAACGATGCTCGCAGGCAGCTAGTTGTTGCTATAACAACTCAAACAGCGGCTGTTGACTCCATTAGGTTTACCGTTATGTATGTTTCTTTCTCTTCAAACTGTAGGACGATCATACGTTT